CAGTGGATTGAGAAAGTTCCTAGAAAGTTTTCCTTGTAGAATTGAAACTGGGAATGTGTAATCTTCACATCATTATCCACATTATTAAATCTCTGAAAAGAGAACCACGTACAGTAACACACCTGTTCTAACTAGAAGCATTTAACCTCCCACTATCATCTCAAAAAACACATTCTCCAGCTCTTGGTTATGTACACAGCAAGCATGGACTAGAAAAAAACCTAAGTAGTACCAAGGGAAACTTCCTGTACTGACTTCCATGTCCCTGTTTAAATTCACAAATCAGAAAAAAATCCTCCTTTGCTTGCCCCTAAAGGGGTAGCTGAATTTCCTAGAACTGAACAATCAAGGGGAGAAAGTGTTACATGGGTAGAAATGCTAACTATATTTGGTCCCAAAAGTCACATCTTCAAGAACATGGGGAATGTGAGGTTTTTTTACTAAGGGTGGAGTTAAGAGACTTAAGAAGCTGAATTATTAAATAAATATCTCTGGGATCCCATACGTAATCATATTCGCACGTGACATGGTTGTGCCCATCCTGCTTGGCAGGAAACTCTACAAAGGCTTGGGAGGACATGGGTGTTGCCTCTCTTGCTGTACCTAGGTCGAGGTGTGGTCCTAATCCAAGTCTGGGGAACGAGCCTTCACAGCACCACAACTACAGCAATCTTCAGGTACAGAGGCTCTGCCCAGCCCGAACTGTAGGAGCAAATGGGGGAGGAACAACCCTTCCTTTTGCCCACCAGTTTGTCTTCAAGCCCCTTTTGCCTAAGAACCTGCGTGATTTCACATCCCTTTTCCCACCTCTGTTCTGTGTTTCCTGTATGAATAGATTCCTGACAACGTAGGGTTAGCTGGCGTGTTTTGAAAATGTGTTGACCACGGAAACTGGGAACACGTTAAACAAGCATGCCTCAGGCACCTCAAAATCTGCAAGGAAAACTTATTTCTATGCTGATATCCAGTAAGACAAGTGTTTTCCAACAAAAATTTTTCAATAAACACTCCAAGACAATCTGTGACACATTGAGAAGGGAAGAATCAGGTTAATTGCAGAAGATTTTATCAGTGTGTATAGCGTGTGTGAACACAGTGGAAGGATTTCTGTAGTTGTTTTAGTGGGTTTCACGGTAGCCCCTGGGATCATGCCACAGCGCAATAGGGATTAGATGTCTTGGACCCTGCAAAATTGTCAGATGCAATTACCTTAAAAGGAATATATTAATTGGCAAGTCTGTGTCAAATGAAGACTGTCCATCACAGCATGCCTGCTCAGTGCAGTGACGAACTCCATCCCGCAGCTCCAAACCCCATCCCGCGGCTCTGAACCCACAATGAGCTACAGCTCTATCCCAGCCTGGCCCTCATCCCAATAGCATTAATGATGGCTTTGTGGTATTTCCATTCCTCTCAGTTTCATTTGGATCAAACCACTCCCTTCAGGGTTTGTTTGGGTGGTTCACAGGGATCTATAATCTATTCAGATTATTAGAAGGTGACGTGAAATGGTAAAAAAGAAAGAAATTAAACTTTCAATTCTTTCCTGCCAAGTTCTGTCAAGTAATTGGAATTATTTAATTATACTTCTGCAGCAATCACATCTCTTTACCAGCTTTATTAGTTGCACAGCTAAGCCAAATTCTCCTTTATTACATGAATATATCTTGAAACTCAAGTACAAAATTACATCTATCTGAAAAAATTAAGAACTTTCAAATAGTTTTAAGCAATTGCTCTGAAAAAACTTGAAAACCTGGAAGAACCATAGTGATCCTGGGGCCTGACCATGTGCAGGACACATGCAATATAACCTCGCCCAGCGATCCCACAATTTCTGCTCAAATACAGGTACATCATCTCCAAATGCACAGTCCTAAAAGAAAGCACCTGCCAGCCTGAGAGACCTGGCGGCTGCAGTGTAAACATTTAGCAGAGTTCAAAGTCTTCTGGCAATTACAACATTCTGTAATAATCTAGCGTGACACAGAAGACAAGGGATAATTACATACATATCAATCATTATTGGCCTTCCCCTCCCCATTTTGATGGCCACAGTTTTCCTTCTGTTTACTCATGACCTGAAGTTAAAACAATAGGGTTTGATGTTTGGTTTGGGTTTTTGGTTTTCGGTTGTGTTTTTTTTTTTCAAGAGACGGGGCAGTTATTCAAGCAAGACTTCATGACTCTTTTGTTTAATTAAATCACACTTTGGTTTACGATGGCTGACAGATGTGAGGAGATGAGAAGAAAACCAAACTATCCACTGATTTTCAAAAAGGCACCTTATTCTGCTGTTTCTTTCGGGGGTGCTTTGTGCTCAGCACTGCTCCAGGCTGAGCAGCAAGCGCTAGAGCACTGCTGCTATCTACAGGTCTGCTCTGCTCAGTGCTCAAACCGGACACGAAACCAAGTCCTGCGACGGGGATGCTCGTGCTTGGGAAAGGGACCAAAACCCTGACACTGAAGTATGTTGGCTTTTGAGAAATGTAAGCTAGCAATCTGTAGCCTCTGTGGCTAATGTATGTTAAAAACCCAGATTCAAGTGGACCTCATTAAAGGGAAGGCTGATGCATGCTGCAAAAGAGTACAATTTCTGCTTTTATTTTTTTTCTGTGAAGAAAGAGGAAACGTTGCACTCTCAGGTGCAGAGTAAGAGGAAGCATCTGCTCCCAGATGGGAACCCTCTCCCACCGCAACACACTGGTGCACAAAACACAATGGGGTACAGAATTCTGGGCTGAAAACCACCTTTGAGCCTGCAATGCTGGACTTCTGAGACAATCTGTGATGCAATTAGAATTCACTAAAATTTAGTTGTGGCTCTTCATTGTTTGGAATTTACTTAATTTTTTTTTCTCTGCTTTTTCCCCTGCAACCCAGAAATTTTGATAACCTCTTTTCTGACTCTTTCAATAACACAGACAAATGAGAGAATCTGGAATGGGCTCAGTACTGCTGAAAACAAAGCACCTTTCAGAACACAAGAACAACAATAAATAAACCTACCCAGCAAATACAATCAAACTGTGGAGACATCAAAAGCACCTATTTAACCAAAGGTTGTAGATTTCAGGATCACATTACCAAAGACAGTATCAGACCACAAGCTTTTGATAAGCAATAGAGGAAAGGGCAAACTCAGAAAGAGTTTTTTTCCCTAATTAAAAAAAAATAAATTATTTTTTCCTGATAAGGAAAAAAAACCCCCAGCTTATTTGCAAAATCTATCTACAACTGCATGTTCAGTTGCTGAGATGAACAGTGAAGTACAGGAGCAGAGCACCTTGCAGCCAGGGAAAGCACAATCAGAAGCTCAAACAGCATGACAATCTGATCTGACATATGGAAACTGTGAAGCTTTTCCCATTCAGGAGGCTAGAAAAGCTCTTCCAGAACTGATTCCCCAAGACCAGCTGGAGCAGCAGGCTTTTAACTAGCCTCTTCCAAACTCTTCGCTCCACACAGAGCATGTTGTTGATACGACTGCTTGTGAGAAAATAAGTAGCTGTTCTGGCCTTTTAAAATATCAGTTTTTCTGGAAACAACTTATTTTCAGTACTGGATACCTGGTGAAAACTTCAGTGTGTGTGACTGGAAAACAGCATTCTGCCGTTTATATCTTATTTTACATTGCAGCCCTGTCTTTTTGTCAAAGAAGATTAGTAAAGGATTTGCCAGACCTATAATAATTATTGCCCATTAAATATTGGGGAATACAAAAAACCTCTAGCATGCAGCAAATGGTTTAAGCATTTGGAAGGACAGGCACCAGAAAACACTCAGAAATTTCTCATCCACAGAGCTCAGCCCTCTGCTACCACTTCTTTCCCTGTTGGTAGTATCTTTTCAGCGATCTTTTACGTTATGTTCCTGCTACTGTTTCTGAGAGACAGCATGATCTCTTTTTAAGTTTGATCTCTTGCATGGAGAGGGATGGCGTTCACCACAGCAACCAGTTTTTTGGGGTGCCAGGTGTCATGGCGAGGCAGGCCCTGGGCAGGCAGCATCCCAGCGGCAGTACCACGCCCTGGAGAGCTGTGCTCGGAGAGGCAAGCTACAAAACTGTGCAGTATTTAGCACCTGACCCTTACAGAATAAATACAGATTCCCCCTTAACCCAGAAACCTCCACAGATTTCCTGAGAACTGTGGCGGACACAGAAGAGGTGATGGGCGTCCATTGCAAAAGAAAAAGGAACGTATGTGAAACCCTCCAGAATATGAACTTCTGGGATGTACAGATTGAAGTAACTGGAAACATGAATTATTCTGGGAATGAAATAAAGTATTTCCAGTATGGCTGTACGGGAGAGACATAGCACACACCGGGCACCGCTGGCTACCCGGGGGCTCCGGCCGCCCGGGCTGATCGGGGCCGGAGGGGCCCCGAAAAGCC